ATTCTATAACATAATCAATTTTGTCCATTTGTAGATGCGTTTTTAATAGCAATAAAATTTGGATTTCTATGGATTAAATAAAAAAATCACACCAAAAAGGTGGTGGCCTACTGGTAACACAAAGGGAGTTGGTTCCTTTGTGCCATGGGTTCAAACTCCTTTTGGGGCATAAAGTTATTCTTTAAATCGGAATATCCAAAGACGGTCTTTCAATACCGAGAATATTATGTTCCAAAAGTTCAGAACTCTTACGGTTTATCAAAAAAGAGCCTCTAGAAAAGTTTTCTCTCTCTCTCACTAAATAATTCCGACTATGTTCGGATCTCTCTTTCCTATTAATTTCGGATTTTTTTTATTTTTGTTGTGTTTTCTTTGCATAGCCGACTTCCCCTTGGCATCATTCTTCTTCACTTCCGGCGAAGTCAAGATCCGGTGCAAGCAATTGGATTCTCCTCTTTTAATCTCCTGCAAGGAGGAATGATGCCTTTGCTCCTCCACTTCTTTATAAGTGGGCCAATGGTATGGTTGTGGTCCGTCGTGTCGACAAGAGGAGGTTGGAGATGGTTTCACTGAAGAAAGTCTGAAAAATATCTAATGGTTTTGTACTTGAATATGCTTTGTCAAAGATTATGAAGTAATTTCTGGAGTAATTTGATGGATTCATCGGAATTTCGACTCCGGTGGAGATAGCGGTGATGAATCAATGGAGGCGCCGCTTTTGTTCTTCGTCAAATCCCTTATGCATAAGTGGATTAATCTTGGACTTAATGTGTGATAGGTTGGGCTCCACTATCACTTCTTCATGATGAAATCTTTTGCCAAACAAAAAAAATCACATTTTGAAAGATCATTTCATCATGGGCTGAATTGGTTAAACAAATCCTAGAGGAAAGAGGTTCTAATGGTTTCTCTACAAATTTTCCAACAGTTTTGGGAAACACAAAGATCTAATGACCAGGATTGAGTTTAAATGGTCAGATCGAACACCCAAGTCGTAAGCAGTTGGAATCTAAGGGACCTATTGCCAAAGCCATTTTCAACAATGCATGGTAGAAAGTTTGCTCCAGAACACTAGAGTCCTTTAAACAAACCACCAAGACATTACAATCTATAGTGACCCAATATTGAAAGAAACTTGACCACTATAGAAAGTGCTCATGATCAATTAAGCAAATATATTTGCGATAGTAAGTTGCAGAACCATGATTGGGCCAAAACAAGGAAGCTACAAGATTTAACAGCTCAAAATCCTTATTGAAATAGTTCAACGTTGGAAAAACCCATTACAATATTCAAAGCTTAAAATGTAAAAAACCCAAACGGAATGATGCTCTTGCGTAGACATGATCGATCTTAACGGTACTGCAAAGAAAAGAAAACCAAATAGATAAAAAAATTAATAATCTTTCCATCATGGGTCAATACTATAGAGACACAATAACTGATCAAACATGAACGTATTACCTTGATGAATCCGATTTCCTTGGCGTTGCTACGAAAGCACTGCCTACAGCAGTTAAGACCATACTTCCTGATTAGCCCATGGGAGTTTCCACACACACGGCTACACAAATTCAAGAAATAACAAGATTAATGTTAGATTCTTCAATATCAAACACAAACTATGACCATACCAACGCCCAATTTATTCTACTTGCACTCAAATCGAACAATGACAAGAAATGGTTATGGTTAACGCAAAAGTTTGGTCCTTTTGAATAAGGGGGATTCATGTCACTAAAGGGTTTAAAACAGATCTATAATGATTTGCTTACAACAAGTATTCTCTGTTTTACCATCCTACAGAGCCCTACTCAAAAGTTTTCACATCATTTGCTATAAGGTGCGACCTCTACACCTAAAATTACCAAATTTAAAGACAAATCTTCCTGTGTTTAGAAGAATCATAAACATGAATAGGCAAGTCTGGATTCATTTCTCGGATCTAAACAGGTTAAAGAGAGGAAAATAACGAGAGAGAAGAAGAAGGTGAGATTACCAGGTGCGAGATCCTGGACCGTATTTCTTGGGATGAGAGTTCCAGATGTTATCGTGACCCATTATCGCCAACTGCTCTGTGCTCACAATCGAAAGCTATTAGATGATGAAGACGAAAGATGTGCGGCGAGAGAGAGAGCTGAGCAAATATGTAAACCCTAGAAAGAAATTGCTCGTCTTTAAATATGAATGGCCTTAACCCTAGAGAAGGTACAAACTGGTGGTCAATATGAATGGGCCAAACTACAAGACTAGCCCATTTTCAATTCATTTGGGCCTACCGATTAAATTGAGTAATTTACAGTGATTTTTAAGGTAATTACGGAATTGTGTTAGTTCAATCAAAAATGGTTAACAAATTTTAAAAGTATAATAAATTAAAGATTTTATCAAATTCTCAAGCATTTTTACGAAGGGAAATACATCTTAAAATTTTCATATATGTGCAGACCAGTGAAATCTTATCAATTTTTCAAAGATTTGTAATTGCAAACCTACCTCAAATCTTTTATACTTGCTTAATGCATAGAGCAGTTTGTTCAGACAGAGATCTTATGATGCCTATGCTCACAGTGTCGTGCCTAGATTTATAGTGTTAGAGTGTCAATAAAAAGTTAAAAAATAAGCTCTTCTTTTAGTATTAAAATGGTTTTGAATTTGGGATGAGAGTCTCAAAATTTGTTCTTACCATATTTATCATTATACTACAATTAATCTTTAGAATATAGGGCCTTAAATTACGTAAAATCATCGGCGGCTCCGAGGCGAATGCCTCTTTGATATAAAAGGAGGCACGGCCTTGTATGCACAGTGCTTCAACCACACTTATTATTGAATCAAGAAAATGTAAATGTCTCCTTCTAATCAACAAACCCCACAATCCATTTAG